GCGGATAAAGTGTGCGCACGCAGGGAGCTACTCATGATCAGGATGGGGGATTAGGTTAAACAGAGGTTGATGATTGGTCACTGTTTGTACGGTCGCTGCACACAGAGTTGTGCGGTCGCACCTCCCAATCCTCGCGAGCAAACATGCAGGCATACGATGACGCACAGAGCGATAACGTGTCCCACAAGCACAAGGCCTTTCTTGGCACAAAATATCAGTTTGAATTTTTTCATATAAATTAAACAATGGCTTTCTAAGAGGCCTTTTACTTTGGCAAATAAAGAAGAAAATACACCATAGTCTATAGAACTATAGTTAAGGTAACATAACAAAATACACTGTGAAGTATATAATTCATATTATAATAAGAAATTGAATAGAATTGTATTTATGTGAGAAAAGCATTTTAGAGGTTTCATTACATTTTTTTTAATTTGGGTAATATGGATGCGTAGACGTGAAGAATATTGACGCTTATGGCTCGCCGTTGGTAATATTAAGTATTTCATCATTGCAGCCTTTTAATCAGGATAATTGTGCAGATCACAAAAATCATTGGAATGACCAGGATTGTTAGATCAATTGCTCCAATAAATCGACTTAAACTTTCCAATACTTTCAGAATCCGATATTTGCAACCCTAAAAATGTGAAGATTAATTAGCGTATGTGATGAACATTGGAGATGAAATGCGAACCAACGTTACTCACATCTAACTCAGTGGCATTGCATTCGCTTCCTGGGTAGCAACAGATCGCGGTTGGATTAGTAAAGTCAGTAGGGTCATTAAATCCACAGCATTCCAACTGATATGAAATATGGTAAAATTTAAAGTTAGCGTCCTACCTCATGTTGAAGGTCTCTCATGTAAGACACCATGGACATTCTATAGGCATCGTCACCGCCTCTATTAGCTATTTCTATGTAGTTTTGGAAATATTGCTCCGCATCTGGGAAGCCCTAACCAAAGCATACATTAATATAGGTGAACATAATACTTACAGCATCAGGTTTAGCTAGTAGAAAGATTGCCATCACGACTCCCGCTGTTAAGAATGCGATTAAGAAAGAGACGAACTAAGTGCAAGTTCATGAGAATTAATGAATCAATCTTACCCAAATGAGAATTTTTCGGTTGGCTGAAAAAGCTCCAACAATTCCCAGAATAGATGCAACTGCTAAGCAGGCATTGAGGCATGTATTCACCACCATAAAGAAACTGCTTCCTCCGTATTTGCCAGACTTTTGAAGTGCAACAAGCAATATGAGTTCAACAACAAGAATAACACCTGCAAATACCTATAAACATTTAATTTCATTGCAGTTACAGCATTCAACTTACTAAGCTCAAAATACTGTAAATTCCTATAGCGAAACGTAGACAGTTGGTGGGTCGCTTTGTCTTTGTTGCATCCTCTTTGATGTCATGAAAATAAATTGTCATTTTCCATCGCGACTTTCTGTAGAAATGTAAGAATTCAGCAGTTTTTATATTATTATTTTGATGTCTGATTGGCTTACAGGTCATGCCTAACTTTCACTGCACAATAGTGGGTCAATCATAATGAAGAATGTTTCTCACATGCTCAATTACAATACTTTAGAAGAAGCGGAAAATTAACGATAATGTTTTTATGCGTATCATTTAATCCGTTCAGTTTCAAACTTCATTTTTAGGCGAAGCTGTGCCAACGTCTACATGAGGGCAATTTAATGAGCAAAATGGACTGAAAACTGGCAAACTTGCAGCACATCATCGATATTGGAACCATTACGTTAATTGTCAGTTTAATGTCCATGAAATACAATATGCTTAACCTATAGGACCGAATTAAGGGGATAATATATCGATTTTGAGCAATGTTTCATTTTTAAATTAATGAATCCATTAAAATTTCCATTTAGGATTTAATGTTTCATTCGATATACTGCATAATTAGCCCAGAAGGAATCTAACACTTTGCCAATTTGTGGAATGACTAGAATTCTTGTTGCTTTGCATGTCAAATTTCTTAATTACTTATTTAAAACGTGACATAACGGACAGGATGTAAAGGGTAAACTAGATTGTTGGAAGAGCAACGGTAGCTGCTATGAGCAACCGCAATCTCATTGGCAGTGAATCAGAACTATGAGCCGAGCTTGAGGTGATTATATTGACAAGCATGGATGAAGAGTTTGTAGAGGAAGACGTTTAAGCAGAAAGCAAGGTGGCTATTTGCATGGATAATAAGACTGCATAATAGCATCGTGATCGTCGTGAAATACGTAGAATGCGAGTGTGTGTGGAAGTTTGATATTCTTCAGCTGTCTTATATAAACTCAGCTCAAAAGGACGTTGACTACGTAAATATGACTTTTTATAAGTAGATAAATTGACATCGGTCATCCCTGGCAAGTAGATTCAACATTTGTTTTGAAATGTATTTCAATGCGTTCCATACCTGAGCTCTTATCTTGTACCCATAACGCCATAAGAACAATGTTAAAATTAACTGGGAAATTCAGAAAAGATTTCTAGTACACACATTGTTGACAATCTTTTACATCAGCTGATTCTCGTAAATTCACATATCTCACAT